CCCCAAATCCCCCCTAAACCCCCCCGTTTTTCCAGGGGTGCTTTTCAGCATCGAGGTGATGTCCTCCCACTTCGCCGTGCGGGATTACTGGCGGGGCTTCTTCGCTGCAACCTGCGGCGCCTTCATGTTTCGCCTCCTCGCCGTCTTCAACAGTGACCAAGGCAAGGCAGGGCGGGCAGGATGCGGCCCCCCCTTCCCCTTTACCCCCCCGGAGGGGGGGGCATAGCATTTTTGGGGTGCCCTCCCCCAAAACCACGCACTCATTCCTCTACCCCCCCCCAGAAACCATTGCTGCTGTTTTTAAGAGCGACCTCAAGATTGATTTCCCCTTCGACCTCCTGGAGACCTTCTTTTTTGCAATTTTGGGGTAAGGAGGGCCCTGCCTGTACCCCTGCCTGTACCCTGCCTGTACCCCTGCCTGTACCCCTGCCTGTACCCCTGCCCTCTCCTCCGCAGGGCCGTCCGCGGGTTTTTTCGGCGGGTTGGGGGGCTGCGCCTCCCTCTTCTGCCGGCGCTGGCGGCTGGCGGCCGTCAAGGAGAACCGGCTCACAGCCAAGCTGCTGGCCACTGAGTCCGTACCGGGCGTCTGTCTGTCTGCCACCCTGCATGTCTGTGCGTCCGTGTCGTGCAGCCTGCATGTCCGTGTGTCCATCCTATGCAGCCTGCCTGTCCCCGCCATGCACCCTGCGCGTCCACGCGTCCGTGCCGTGCAGCCTGCACATCTACTGTGCGCGTCCGTGTGTGTCCCCCCCATGCACCCTGCGCCTCCGCCCCATGCACCCTGGGTGTCTGTTTGTCCGCCCCATGCACCCTGGGCGTCCGTACGTCCACCCTATGCACCCTGTGCATCAACCCCATGCACCCCGTGTGCCTGCGCGTCCATGCCATGCGCGTGCACCCCATGCTCTGTGCGCGTGTCTGTGCATCCGCTCCATGCACCCTGCATGTCTGTGCGGCCGTGCCGCGCAGCCTGCGCGTCCAACCCATGCACCTTAGTTGTCCGTGTGTCCACCCCGTGCGCCCTGCCTGTCCATACGTCCACTCCATGCACCCTTCACCTCCACCCTGCGCACCCTGGGTATCCGTGTGTCCACCCCGTGCACCCTGGGCGTCCGTGTGTGTCCCCACGCACCCTAGGCATCCCTGGGTCCACCCCACCCTGTCTGTCTGTCTATCCCCGCGCCTCCAGCCCTGCCTCTCCCCCCCCCAGCAAGCCGGTCTACACGGTGCTGGTGGTGCTGCTCCTTGCCTCCATCACCTTCCCGCCGGGGCTGGGGCAGCTGATGGCCTCCAGGGTGAGTTTTGGGGGGACACGGGGCTCCCCAGGGCACCCCAACATGTCCCAGCGGGTGCTCAGGGTGTCTGTCTGTCTGTCCTCCCAGCTCACCATGAAGGAGTATCTCACCTCCCTCTTTGACAACCGCACGTGGGGCGCGCTGGTCCCCAACGCCTCCTCGGTGGCCGACGGCCCCGGCGTGGACCCTCGGGGGCTGTGGCAGGAGTGGTGCCACCCCTCTGCCACCATCTTTGGCACCTTGGCCTTCTTC